ACCTGTCCAGGCAAGGCCAGGGAGAAGCTTACCTTCAGAATTCCTCAGCCCTTGGAGTTCCCTCGTTTCCCTGGAGATAGAATGAACACATAAAGGAAAGAGAAATTACAATCCCAGGGGCAGGCCTGCTAGGGTTGTCAGTGAGGATGCACCTCTGGCTCAAACTCCAGGCCCAGCTGAGGCTCCACACAGCTCCTTCTGCCCATCCCAGGACATCTGGACAGACCAAGGGCCAGGAAGTCAGGGCCTTCTCCTGAACTTGGAGGCAAAAGCCAGACATTGGCCTAAAAGAACACTACAGGCCTGATGCACACTCTATGTTCGTGGTGCTGTGCAGACTGTACTGGTATGAGCAGATGGGGTCCTTGGTTTTCCTGATGCCCCACTATTCCCCCATCATTCAAATCTTGATTCTGTTCATACCGCTTGGGCCTCAGGTCACCAGCTTGTAGACTCGCGAGGACCAGGCCCGGAGGACTCTTCCTTTGAGAAACTGCGCACGCACTTGGAAGACAGCTTGAGGGCTTTCTGAGAGTGTTTCCCCTGGGGAATAAACACGAGTGGGAATGCAGAGGCGTGACCCAGCTTGCATACTGTTCTACGTCACTGCTAATAACAGCGTGGGGTTTAAAGTCTTTCAAGTAATCTTAAGTATCTTATTTCATTCCTTATTCAGTAGATTTGTATTGGCATATCACGGTGTCAGAAGCAGGATGTGGTGTGATCCCAAACCCTCTTCGTAACATCCCCAAGGCTCAACTCATTGGTGCCTGCCAAGGTACCCTATGTTGAGCAGTTTTTTTTAATGATGCCAGGAAGTCAAGTAACTCTTCTTGGTCTAAAATCCAGTGTAGAGGTTTTAGGATTTGCATTTTCACTTAGAGGAATACACACACACACACACACACACACACACACACACACACACACACACACACACACACACTGAAAGGGCCGCCACTGACAAAGACTCTCAACTTCATGGTGGTTTCAATGAAGGACCCAGGTTGTAAAGTTTCATTTTGAAGATGTGTTGGCTTGTTGTTTAATATCCAGGCAGAAAGTTCTTCCATCTGCTGATTCACTCCCCAAACAGCTGGAAAAACCGGAGCTGGGTCAGACTGAACCCAGGAGCTAGGAACTCCAATGCAGTCTCCTACATGGGTGGCAAGGCCCAATCGCAATCATTTGGGCTGTCTTCCTTCTGAGACACAGGGGCAGAAAGCTGGAAGCGATGCAGAAGCAGCTGGGACTCAGAGAGAACTCTGACACGGGAGGCTAGCATCGTAAGCAGTCCCTTCCCCCACTGCATCATAGTACCAGCCGCATGCTGGTCAGTTTCTGAAATGTCTCTTTCGTTATTTATTTCTGAAGCTTCCCATTGTGATTGTTACACATACTGGAAAGATTCTGAAGCCTCTAAAATGTAGCAAGATTGGATTATAGGTTCTCGCATGGCCGGCCTATCCTGGGATGTGTCTTATTTGCACGTGGTAAGAACGTGCATTTTTTGTCACGCGGTGAAGTGTTGTGCACTGACACGTGTCTGGAGTTGATGTTTTCCACTTCTGCTTTGATTTTTCTCCTGGATTATTGAAACCCAGATTTTCATCCTCCACCTGTTATTATTGATGGTCGGTTTCGCTTTGTTCAAGGCTATTGGTTGGTGGCGTTTTTAGATGCATAGATGTTGATAATTGTTACATTGTCCTGGTGAATTCGCCTATTAGCATTGTAAAATATTCCTTTTGATTATGCTAACACTATCTGTCCATTTTATCCCGAACAAGTGACAACCGGGCCAACACCCTTCAGGTCGCTGCTCTCCCATCTTTTCCCAGCCTTTTACTCTCAGCCTATTTGTATCTTCAAATGTGAAGTATGCTTCCTGTGGCCTGTCCATCATTTTTTTAAAATTCCAGTCTGATAGTCTTTGGCATTTGATTAAACCGGGCAATATATTCATATTCACCATTATTGATACCGTTATTTTTACAAGTGTAATCTTCCATTTTGCTTTCTAGATGTTTCTTTTTTTGTTTATCCTTGAAAATGCAATTTAAGCACAAGTTTATTTCGTACTAAATCTTTTGAAATTCGTCTATACAAGGGGTTTTCCAAAAGGAAGATATTTATTATGAGAAAATGATGTGAAGATTTATATTCCCCTCCCCCCCACACACACACACACCAGGGCTGGCGTTGTGCCACAGCAGGTAAAACTTCAGCCTATAGCACCAGCATCCCATAGGTATGCTGTTTAATGTTCCAGCTGTTCCACTTTTATCCAGCTCTCTGCTAATGGTCTGGGAAAAACCGTAGAGGATGGTCCAGGTACTTAGGTCCCTGCTGTAAATGTGGGGGGTCTGGACACAGTTCCTGGCTCCTGGCTTCCGCTTGGCTCAGCCCTGGCTGCTGTCGTCACTTAAAGAGTGAACCAGTGGATGGGAAACCCCAACCCACACTCTAATTCCACCTCTACCTCATTCTCTCTCCATGACTCTTCCAACTAAATTACATCTTTTCAAAAATGTTTCTGCAAAGAGTATTCTAACTATAAGTTTTCACACTTTTTAAGGGACTCTCATAAGAACATTTTCCTCCTGTTTTTTGAAACTTTTCAAGTGCTTCAAAACACCGCAAAATCAATGAAAAAATAATAAATTACAAAATTAGGCCATCGTGCTAAAAAGTCAGCATGGGGCTACTTTTGAGCAAAGCATGATATCGGAGAATGGACCTGCCCTGGAGACCCCAGGAATCGGGACTGTTTTGTTGGTGTTTATGTGGTTGTGTTCATTGCTTTATTTTCTGCTTGTTTGAGTCGGTTTGGTGATTCTTGCATCAGTTATACAAAGATGCACTTATACTATGCGTGCTTGCATTTTTGTTCTTCAATAAAAAAAAGAGAGAATGTATGCAGATACAGCGCCACAAGGGACTCTTTCACTCTGTGACTCTTCCTGAACTTCCGGTGAACCCTCATGGACTGAGGCTGGGCTTTCAGCAATCCTGAGCAGTCTCGCTGTGCAGGCTGCCAGCATCTGGAAACGGAAACTACAACTAGACTCAAATGCTCTCATCTCACATCAAAAGCAAACGTCAGAAAGAAAAGACAGCCTACACTGAGAGCTTTCCAACTTACTAATTACCCCCTGTTCTCCATTTAAACGTTGCTTTGGGGCCAAGGTTGTGGTGTAGCAAGTGAAGCCACCATCTGCAACATCAACACCTCAGATGGAGTTCAAGTCCCAGCAGTTCCACTTCTGAGCCAGCCCCCTGTTAATGGCCTGGGAAAGCAGGGAAGCATGGTCCAAGTGCTTCGGTTGCTACCGCAAAACTCAAATGAAGCTCCTAGCTTCTGCCTAGCTGAGTGCTGGTTGCTCCAGCCATCTGAGTGAGCTAGCTGATGGAACAGATCTCTCTGCCTCTCTCTCTCTGTCTGTCTGTCTGTCTCTCTCTCTCTCTCTCTCTCTCTCTCTCTCTCTCTCTCTGTAGCTCTGACTTCCAAATAAATAAATCCCAAAAGGGGGTGGGGAAGGGGAGTAGGTGGAGAGGAGTTTCTTTAAAACTGGGGCAGCACCTGCTTGTACAGGTTCACACCCCAGGGACTGCCAACAAAATTACTAAGGAAATGGCTGATTCGGGTGAATCTTGAGAAACCCATTTGTTTGTACTTTTCGTCATTGTAGCTCGAAGCAGGGCAGCCATGGAGGGACAACAACGTACTTAAGAGGTCTTTATCACATGAAGTATGTAAATTCCATCTTCAAAAACGGGTTGTTACAATTTTCTTCTAAAATGCTCCTTTCTCCCAAAGGAATTCCTGCTGTGGCTTTTCAATAAAATAGTGTCCCTGCGGCTAGAGACGCGCCGGGATTAAGAGGCCAGCAGGGATTCAGCAGGGAAGCTGAGACAAAGGCAGTTCCATCCATTTTGACAGTCTGTTTGCTTGTTTGTTTAGAAGCTAAATCACTTCATAACAGCAGCAGCAATGGGCTCCCGCAGGCCGGTTCACCCGGGCATCCGGGTAAAGCTAAACAACAGACAGTTCAAAGGTCAAACAACAAATAACCTAAGTGGGATTAAGGAAAGCGCCGGCCTCCTGCTGGGAGTTTCCATGGTAACATCCCCTTGGCAGGAGCAGGTACCGCAGGCTTACCCTCCCTGGTGTAATGAACTTTTGTTGCCTTTCCTGGCCCCGGAGGCTCCCAGCATCCTTACTCTTTCCTGCCATCAGTAACTGCTCACGGGTCAAACAGGGGTCACAGGCCAGCTGTCAGTAGGAATAAGCTTCCTGTGAGAGAAGCACTGGCTTCCAGTTCTCCACGGGGATACAAACCAACAACGAGGGCGTGGAAGGCGCATCCGCTCCAAGAGGCGCCTCATCAGCGCACACCTGGGTAGCCACTCGCAGGCCAGAGACCACAGACCAGATGTAAAAGGAAAAGCGTGGCATTCATCAAACCAAGTGTGTTGCCGGGGGCAGAGACTCCGGGGAGACATGCCTCCGTGAGATGGGGGAAATGAAACAGGGATACGGAATTTATTTAAACAAAGGAGAAGTACAGGGGCCGCACAAAGGCTTAATTGTCTAATCCTCCATGTCCAAACACCTGCGTCTGTATGGAGACGGTTTGTGTCCCGACTGTTCTACTTCCCATCCAACTCCCTGCTTATTCCGCGGTGGAGGGCCCAAGTCCTTAGGACCCTGCACCCGCGTAGGAGACTGAGAAGAAGCTCCTGGCTCCTTAAGGGAGTGCGCTCAGGTCTTCAACACGCAGTGGGAGTGTTGGATCTTGTCAGTCGCCGCCGCCCGTGATCACGCCAGGCAGCCGGGGAATCCCAGCAGTAATCCCTTTGGCCGCTAGAGGGCGACGGATCGCACGGCGCCATTCAAAATGACGTCGTCGCGTAGACTTCTGGGAAACGTAGTTCAGTAGTGCGGCCAGGGAGCACCACGCACGCGCAGTGGCTCATCCCTGCAGCTGCAAAGGTTTGTCTCACACGCCGGGGGGTTAAGGACTGAGAATCATCAAAGAGCAGAAGAGGACCCCCTGGGCCTGGTGCGGCTTCGGCGCGGAGGCTGAGCCGCTGCAGGTGTGTCTGAGGCCTCAGCAGAGGCGGGTGGTCCGCGAATGACGCCTTGAGCTGCCTGGAAGCAGGGTTTGGGGGGCCTGTTGGCGGGAGGCCCAGGGTGGGGGTCTGGCCTGGACCCGACCTGTGTGCCTGGGGCTGCAGGAGGCCTAAGGTGGGGGTCTGGCCTGCATCCCGACCTGTGTAGGTGGGGGTCTGGGCGAGCGTGCTGTGGTGATGCGGAGCCTCAGGCTGCAACGTAGGCGCCCCCCGGCACGGCGGGGCCAAGGGTCTCGCGTGGGGTGGCTGGCTGACGGGTAGCTGGGCCTCTTGTGGGGTGACGGGCAGCCAGGGGTGGGGTCCTCAAGGAGCTGCCTGGAGGAACAATGTGATGCGTGGGGAGGACTCCAGGCAGCCACTGGTGGTCAGTTTCGCCAGCGCTGTCGTTTGCTTCAGTTTAAACCAGGGTCCTGCCTGATCAGAGAGAAACTGGTTTTTCTCTGGTGTTGGCTTTGCAGGGCGAATGGGCAAGAGTCTTAGGTTAGGCCAGCGTGGCGGGGGTCTGACGTCAGGCTGGAGTCTGCCAGGCCAAGTTTGGGATGTGTGGGAGCCCCGCTGGGGATGAGGGCAGCTTGGGATGGCCCTGCTGGGACGCAGTGAAGACCCCACCAGGCTGGGGTTGACCCTGCCCACTGGGGAGTCCCTCCCCACACCCCGTATCAGCAGGTGGCAGATCAGTTATCCCTGGGTGTGCTCCGTAGATCCCTATCCTGACGTCCACGGCCCTAACTTGCATGTCCAGAGCGCCAACAGGAGGGATTGTGCAGTGTTCCCAAAGCTTAGGGTGGAGTGCTGTTTCCAAAACTTGTAGGAATGTGTCAGCACCCTCAGGACAAATGTAAGTGAAGGTTCTTCTGGGTGTTTCTGCCTGTCAGTTGAACCCACAATTGACGCTGTTGCTTGGTGATGTTGTAGTGTTCCTTAGCAGCTGGGAAGCCCTTTCAAGCCAAAGGCTAGAGAGGGAAACTGGGACGTGTGTGTATGTGTGTGTGTGTGTGTGTGTGTGTGTGTGTGTGTTAAAATAGGTGAAACTTGCACAGTGCCTTTGATTGGCTGGGAGGTGCCTTAGGTTATCAGCTGGGTTCTGTGTGAACACAGGGCTGGCTCCAACTGGGTGCTGATGCTTATAAAAAGAATCTGAACTCTCCAGCTGCTTTTTGCTGCGGGTATGGAGTGCCTGGTTGGGGGTTGTGCCAAATGCTTACGTTAAGAAGCTAGACTTCTGATACTGCCGACAGATCAGATGGCTGTGTGGCAGTTCATGCTGGCCCGATTAACTTTACCGTAGTTACCTGCAACATGTCCAGGAGCCAGGGCGATGGTGATTGCCCTGGAACTGACTGACTGACTTTGTGGTGCTGGGTGGCTTTGTATGGAATCCCATGGGTGCGTTACGGCTGACTGAACATTCTCTCATGCCTCCTGGCTTGAAAGATGATAGCTTGTTTTAAACACCAAACTCACCGAGTCCTATGCGTCTCCAACAGGGAAGAACCCCAGTGGCCAGTTGTCCTGGAGTTATTTGCACAGTGGAATTCCAGGTCTGAGCAGAATGTAACTGCTGCGTTCACTTAACCCCCAGACCAACTGGATCGCCTTTGGCCAGCAGAAACTCCTTAAAGAGCAGGGCATCGCTGACCAATCCGGGAAGGTCAGAAAAGTCACTGACCAACCAGGAGCCTGAACACAGGCTGACCCTAAGCACCTGCACTCCTAATCCCTCAGGGAGCCGAGGAATTAAGCAATAGCCGCCGGGCTTCCTGCTCTGTTCTTTGCAATACGTAGCTTCTTAACAAAGGAAGGAAGAAATTATAGCTTCAAAACTCAAAAGCTAGACAGCTGCCACGTTCATGGTCAGCAGATACGTAGAAAGGAAGTGTCCAGTTTCACTCTATCTTATTTGATTGAAAGCAAGTTCATAGGGAAGCAGTTTTTAAGGAACTATGATTTAGGAAAAAATCATTATGTTTAAAAAGACTTCCCTAATTTAATGACATTTATACTGTGAGTAGGAAAAAAATGTAGAACTTAAATGTCTCTTTTGTATCAGTAAAACTGTGTCCTTGTGCTATATTGTCAGCGTAGGGCGGATATGTGGATGTTATGAAAGCATGGAAAAATGCTGCTGTTTGACATTTACATGTTTGAGTCTCTTCTGTTATTTCAGCAAAGAGACACGCAATCTTCAAAGCAGCCAATAGGAGAGATGCATTTAGTTAGTTTGGCACAGAAATGCCGCAGGTTCATCAGGATTTGGATCACCAGTGGGCAGGTGGATGCCACTTCCTGCTTCGTTTTACTAACATCCTGTGTGGCCATGTCTCGCAGGGGATTTGCGCAGCCGTTGGCTTCCTGTGACTTCAGTGTTTCAACTTTTCTGACTCAGAACGACAGAAAATGAGCAAGTCCAAGGTGAGTTGTTTATTTAGCTACACCTTGGTCATTCTGTGGTTATGGGTTTTATGAGAGAAAACACAAATATGAAACCAGAAAAGCAGAAAAAATTAAAAAGAAAATCAGTGCTGGCACTGTGGCATAGCAGGGAAAGCCGCTCGCTGCAGTGCCGGCATCCCACACGGGTGCCTGCTTGCATTTCGGCTGCTCCACTGCCCATTCAGTTCATGCTTAATGGGCCTGGGGATGCAACAGAGTTTGGTCCAAGGGCTCAAACTCCTGCACTCACATGGTAGATTTGGAAGCAGCTCCACGGTCCTGGCTTCAGATTTACCCAGCTCTAGCTGTTGCAATCATTTGGGGAGTGAACCAGTAGATGGAAAATATTTCTTTCTCTCTCTCTCTCTCTCTCTCTCTCTCTCTCTCTCTCTTGCTCTCACTGTAGCTCTGACTTTGAAATAAATAAATAAATCTGTGGGGAACAAAAGAATTAGAAGGGTTAAGTGACCTACCTAAAAAAAAAATCTCCTTTGGGGAAAGTGCTATCTGAATCAAATACCAGTTATCAAAATCAGGAGCCACCTGTCTCTGTAGGGGTCTCCGAGGTCGAGGCTTGCGACACTGAATGCGGATTGTCTTGGACTGAGTTACCAAAGCGGCAGTAGATACCCTGCTGCCCAACTGCCATGAACCAAGACAACGGCACCGAATCTGTGATTTTCCTGTTTTCCCACAGGGGATTTAGAGACAAAATATTGCCAAGGAGATTAGGGCTATCTTTAAAGCGACCGTGCATATTATTAACCTCATTAAATCTTGACCCTTGGGAACATAAGGGTTCAATATCCAGTGTGAGACAAGGAAAGGTCATGCAGCTTCAGCTGTATCCCGAAGTGTGATCGTTGTCTGACGGAAATGCTTCAAACAATTCTTTGACGTGACCTTTTACTAGAAACAGCTAGCAGACAAGCTGTGATTTTTCAGGCTTGGGTATTTTACATCTTCTCAAAAAAAAATAAGCCTGTCATTTCAAGGAGGCATTTGTAGTTTGTGTGTGTGTGTTGCCAGTGTTAAAACCTGACATTTGAAGTGAAGATGGAGGGAATGCGTTTAGCACAGTAATGAAGACACATCTCAAGATATCTGTACCCCACACAGGGGTCTGCCTCTGTTCCTGCTTCCAGTTTCCTGGGGAACCACCTAGTTGGGTCCCTGCCATCCAGGTGGAAGAGGCAGGTGGAATTTTTGGCTCCTGGCCCAGCCCCAGCTGTTGTACACTTTTGGGGAGTGAACCAGTAGATTTCTGTCTTCTCTCTCCCTCTCTCTACCTTGCCTTCAAATTACATTTTTAAAAATTAGAGTGAAAATGAGAATATTAGAAAATGACAGTTTCCCAACACTGAAACATTTTTCTGTAAGAGCAATCATGGGGTCCAGCACAATGGCTCAATTGGCTAATCCTCTCCCTTCAAATGCCAGCATCCCATATGGGGGTGTGTTCATGTCCCAGCTGCTCCACTTCCCATCCAGCTCTCTGCTTATGACCTGGGAAATCAATGGAGGATGATGGCCCAAAGGATGGGACCCTGCAGCCATGTGGGAAACCTGGAAGAAGCTCCTGGCTTACCATCAGCCCAGCTCAGCTTCAGCCATTGCAGCCATTTGGAGAGGGAACTAGCAGATAGAAGGTCTTTTTATCTGTCTCTCCTTCTCTCTGTAAATCTTCCTTTTCAATGAAAATAAGTAAATCATTAAAAAAAAAAAAAGAGAGAGAGAGAGAGAGTAATGATGATCCTGGGACCAGTGCTATGTTATAGTAGGTAAAACTGCTATGGAGCTGGCATCCCATGTGGGCACCAGTTCTAGTCCCAGCTGCTCCACTTCCAATCCAGATCCCTGGTAATGTGCCTGGAAAAGCAACAGAAGATCTTTCTCTTCTCTGACTCTCTCTCCCTCCCCCTCTCTCTGTAATTCTGCTTTTCAAATAAATAAATAAACACATCCAGAAAGAGTAGTGTGATATTAACAGGTACGATTTCAATAATATATAGGGGAGGACATTTGGCCGGACAATTCAGGTACCAGTCCCAAGACCATGTTCCATATCGGAGTACTGATATGAATCCTGTTCTGCCCCTGAATCCCATTGGTCCCTGCTACCCATAAAGGAGACACGGATTGAGTCCCCAGCACCTAGCTGTATCCTGACAGCCCTGGCATTCGTAGACCATTGGGGAATGAGCTAATATACAGTTTTCATTGTCTTCCTCTTTGTGTGTTTCTCTGCCTTTTAATTAAGAATGATGAGTAAATACATGTAACAAATTGTGTCAGCTTTTGAACCCTATTTCTGAAGTGAGTGCTCAAAGATGAACTTTCAGGAGCTTTTGATCTTGACTGGCTGGCCCACAACTTGAGATAGTAGGTGTTGGCTCAAGTAGATGTTTAGATTCTGTCTTCCATAGGAGTTGGAGCTTATTCCCCCTCTCCTTAAGGATGTACTGAACTTTGATTTATTTTAAAGACTAGAGTGTTGAAATGAAAAATAATTACTATACAGTGGAGAAAATAGGTAAAAATCATGGTAACAAAGTGATCCCGGTTAATATTACCAGTGATATTAACATATCCTTGTTACCTTGCAATCATAAGGGCTCTGTGCTATTCCTTCCTAAACCTAAAAATCTTAGTCTAATCTTCAGAAAATTTTCCAAAGTTCGAATTGAAGGGTAGTCTACAAAATATTTGAATAGTACTCCTCAAATCATCAAGATAACAGCCAAAGAAAACGAACAGATAAAGGAAACCAAAGCACAAATGTTCTGATCCGTCTGTGCTGCTACAACAAAATACCTGAGACTGGGTGATTTATGGAATAAAAACTAAGAAGAGGGCATCGGTGCTGGCGCATGGTGGAGTGGTTGGGACCTCACTTGGGATGCCTGCATCCCGCTATTTCCACCTGAATTCCAGCTGGGTCTCTTATGTACATCCTCAAGTCCATGAGTCCCTGACTAGTCAGGCTCAGCCCCAGCTGTCACAGGTCCCAGGGGAGAGAGCCAGTAGATGGAAAACCTCTGTCTTTCATTATCATCTAGTTACTGTTAGTGTACCAGTACCGGTGGCTTCATTTATATTTAGAGGAAACTGAAACTGAGCGAGAAGTGTATGAGAATTGTCTTGGTCCATTTGTGATGCTTCAGAAAAGTACCTGAGACTGAGTAATTTTTTTTTTAAGAACAGAAATTTACTTGTAGTTCTGGAGATCAGGCAATCCAAGATCAGATTGTCCATAGATTCTGTATCCCTGGTTTCTGCTTCCAAGTTCTGGCCTGAAACCCTAAGTTCTCATGTGGTAGGAGGGCCAAAAGTCCCTTAGGCAGGCTGCCATATTACAAAAAGAATTCTGTTTGGTCCCATAGTTGTGGAGATGCATGGTCCAGAAGTGACACCTGGTGGTGACCCTCTGGGTGGCAGAGTCCTAGGATAGCGTAGGATTTCACATGGCAGGAGTTGAGAAGCAAGCAGAGTCCTGGGGTGGCATTGGCCATCACATGGCTGGAGTTGGGCCCAGCCAGGCTACAGTAACCACTGGAAAATGCCAAAGCGAGGCAGGCCATGCCAGACTGGGCCACAACACCCAACCAGTACACATGAGACAAAAGGCGGGAGGGGATGAAGCCAGTAGGGGGCTGCATGAGGCACCCCTGCTGGAGCACCACTCCCATTGGAGAGCATGAGTTGGAATGGAGACAGATCAGGCCAGACAGGGCTACAATAGCTGTTGGCCTAGTGAACTGAACCAGGGAAAAGCCAGGCTGGGTTGACTGCTCCTACTGGTGCATGCATAAATCAGAGTGTGGGTTGGATGGGCTTTGCCACAGCAGCATCTGGCAGATGCTGGCATGGGAGTCAAGTTGAACTCAGAACAACCTGGAGAGTGCAAGATCCAAGATTGGGAACGGGCAAGTAGGGAAACAGTGGGCTCCTGCCAGCACATGTATGGGCTGGATAGTGGAGCTGGTTGGGTTGAACTAGGCTTTAATGCCCATTGACATGTATGAGAGCTGCATGGGATGTGGGACAGACTGGACCAGTCTGCTGTACATACTGGCAAGCATAGGAACCAGGGCAGGGGGTGGGCCTGGTGGGGATTATTGCAGGTCACTCTGACGAGGCTGCAGCTCCCATTAGTGTATGTGAAGGCTGAGCATGTGGTGGGCAGGATTCGGCTGGGCTTCAACACCAATTGGTTGTGTAAAAGGTAGGACTGGAGACAAAACTGACACCGCATTTGCAACCACCAGCATATGCATAAGCTGATTGGGGCAATGGACTGTGCCGACCCTTTAATGGCAAGCCTATACAAGAATTGGTCTGGGATCACCTCAGATGCAGTTTCTATGGAGATTTCCTGAACTGAGCTGCTGGACTCAGAACCCCAACCTCAGAGAGAATTGCAGGTTGCATGGCCTGACCGTGGAGTACATGTGTCAGAGATGGGCCTCCTCAGTGGCTTAGATGGAGCAGTGCAAAGCAAATCCAGGAGGATCTGCAGTCCATTGGAGTCTGCAAAGGACACCTGGTACCACAACAGAGGATGGAGGACAGAACAAATTGATCAACTACCCCAGCCAACTATTGGCAGTAAATAACTGGGCAGAGACTCTAAGGTGAGCTATGTCAGTCAGTGGAGTCTGGAGAGATTTCATCGTGCTTGGAGGGCAAGATTGGCAGTAATTCAGAACTGTTGAACTATCAAAACTTCTTGAGTAGGACCTTCAGAGCATGGTCCATATCGGGGACCCTGGGGAGATGTCGGGTGGCTATTCTCCATCCCAGGGTATTTGGGAAGCTGGGTGTAGCTTCTCTCCTTGTCTCCCCCCCTTACCCCAGATACAGGAAAGAAAAAAAGAGAGAATGTGGAAATGGTGATCTCACCCACCTTCCTGTATCCCTCGACCCTAATGACCCTAATCAACTATGTAAAAATAATCAAAGATAAAAAAGAATTAAATTTTTTTAAATCAAAGATTTGTGATATTGAAAAACGTGGCTCTTGGGAATCTTCCATAAAGAAAAGATATTCAGATTGTACAGTTCTGAATTTTTTAAGGTTCATTTTCATTTGAAAGGCTGAGCTACAGAGAAAGAGAGAGACAGAGATAGAGAGGAAGGAAGGAAGGAAGGAGGGAAGGAAGGAGGGAAGGAAGGAAGGAAGGAAGGAAGGAAGGAAGGAAGGAAGGAAGGAAGGAAGGAAGGAAGGAAAAAGAAAAAAGAAAAGAAAAGAAAAGAAAAGAAAAGAAAAGAAAAGAAGGGGAAGAGAAGGGGAAGGGAAGGGGAAGGGAAGGGAAGGGAAGGATAGAATCCTGGAGCTTCTTCTAAATATCCCTGGCAGGTGCACGGGCCCAACATGGGCCATCCTTTGTTACTATCCCAGGCACATTGGCAGGGAACTGGATCAGAACTGGAGCAGCTGCAACTCAAACCAGCACCCATTTGGGATGCCAGGACTGCAGGCATAGGTTTATGTACTATGCCATGGAACTCACCCCAAGAATGTACATGTTTAAAAGAACCTCTATAGACCTCTATGTGCCAGAGAACCGACCAGAATGATAAATGTGCCAAGAGAGTCTTTAACAAAACAAATAAACTTATTTAAAAGTAAAGGGAAAAGGCCCTCTGGGTCTTTTAAAAATATATTTATTTTTATTGGGAAGGCAGATTTACAGAGAGAAGAAGCGACAAAGAGAAAGGTTTTCTATCTGCTGGTTTACTCCCCAAGAGGCCTCAGTGGTCAGAGCCGAGCCAATCCAAAATCAGGAGCCAGGGGCTTCCTCTGTGTCTTCCACATGGGTGCAGGGTTCCAAGGCTTTAGCCATCACTGCTTTTGCAGGCCATAAACAGGAATCTGGATAGGAAGTGGAGCAGCCAGGACACAAACTGGCACCCATATGGCATGCTGGTGCTTAGAGGTGGAAAATTAGCCAGTTGAGCCATGTGCTGGCCCCAAAACTACTACATTTCAGATCCTATGAAATATATACAAGAAAATGTTACAGCCTTAAATACTACTTTCAATCCAGGGGCCCGCATTGTGGCACAGTGGGTAAAACTCCAATAGCAGCATACCATGTGGGTGCCAGTTCCTGGCTGCTGCACTTCCTATCAGTTCCTTGCTACTCTGCCTGGGAAAGCAATGGAGGAGCCCAAGTTATTGGGCCCTTGCATCCACATGGGAAAGCTGGACAAAGTTCCTGGCTCCTGCCCCAGCCCTGAACACTGTGGCCATTTGGGAGCTAAACCAGTGAATAGGAAACTCTCTCTGCACTCTCTTCCCTTCTCTCTCTCTCTCTCTTTCTCTAATTCTACCTTTCAAATAAGTAAGTCTTTCATGGGAGATAGAAAATGTCTGGCATTGTGACCCAAGCCTACAGATACTATGAGAGCTGTCCCCCAGTGTTAGTTACACCAATGTGCCTTCTTTTCCTTCACTGCTGCTATTTATTGTATATGTCTTGGTCACATTTGTGCCTTCTTTTTGATATGCCATTTATTATCTCTCCATTAGTGTTTTCTTCTAAACTACTCTATAACTCGAGCACTTCATGGCTGTCACGGTCAGTATTCACATCCCAGTGAAGATGGAAACAACGCAGAATACACGAAGCAATCCACCTAGTGTGAAATAGCTGACCCTCTACGCACTCTGGTCTCAGCAGGATAACTTTGACAAGCTTGTTCGTCTACTTTACTAGCTATAATTATACAAGGATACGCCAATAAGCCCATGAACTATGGAATTAAAAGATGTTTAGGGCCCGGCGCGGTGGCGCAAGTGGTTAAAGGTCCTCGCCTTGCACGCCCGGGATCCCATATGGGCGCCGGTTCTAATCCCGGCAGCCCCGCTTCCCTTCCAGCTCCCTGCCTGTGGCCTGGGAAAGCAGTCGAGGACAGCCCAAAGCTTTGGGACCCTGCACCCGCGTGGGAGACCCAGAAGAGGCTCCTGGCTTCAGATCGGCATAGTATCGGCCCGTTGCGGCTCACTTGGGGAGTGAATCATCGGACGGAAGATCTTCCTCTCTGTCTCTCCTCTCTGTATATCCGCCTTTCCAATGAAAAAATAATAAAAATAAATCTTAAAAAAAAAAAAAGGATGTTTATTTGACACACAAAAAATTGAAATCCTCGCATACTTTTTAAAAAATAATATGTATTTCCATGAACATTTGGAAACCTCCGATGAGTACTGCAGACAACTATCCAATTTGTGACCATCTTATTATCTTGTATGTACTCTCGTCATAGCACCGGCTCTGTGTTTGGCATTTAAGCACTTACTTTTATGTCTCCCTGCCCAAATGTAATCTGTTTGATGTCAGGAAAAGTTACTGCAGCAGCATTGCGGGCACACAGCCAGTGCTCAGGAAATGCGCATTGAACTGTATCTGTACGGAAAGAGCCAGTGGAACAGTATAGCTTAACGTTCCAGAGTCAGTTCCATATCTTGCACATCCAGATTAGTTCGGAGTGTCTTTCCACTGACCCTCTATTCTAGTTCCTTTATATTGAAGTGAACTATGTTGTTCCAGGAACCAGTGACATTTAAGGATGTTACTATGGAATTCACCAAGGACGAGTGGAAATTGCTGACTCCTGCTCAGATAACCTTGTACAAGGAAGTGATGCTGGAAAACTACAACCTGCTGGTCGCAGTGGGTGAGATAAACGTCTCTATATGTATTTCCCAGTGGTTTCCATTTCCTTTCCCGGTTACTAGAATGCGGAAGTTCCCTATGATGTTAAATGATATTAGCTTTTTGCAGGAGTCTAAGTTAAAACGGTCAGTTTGGGGAATCAGAAAAATATATTTGACCCTACAAACCCAGTAGCGGAATCTAAATTTGCCAAGCCTACGTGGGACTTTGTTCAGAAACTTATGTCTCTAAGCTTCCAGATAGTTGCATCATTTCCTGTGTCTTTTCCATCATTAGGCCATCGTGCGAGTAAATCAAATACAGTCTTCAAGTTGAAGCAAGGAAAAGAGCCATGGAGATTAGAAATTGAATTTCCACGTGAGAGCCGCCCTGGTAAGTTACAAGAAATTAGACCCCATTTTGGTAGCGAAGTGCTTGGTGTCTCTTGCCTTTTGAAATAGTTTTTAGTGATCTCCTTTTAAATACCCTGTAGTTTTGGAGGTCGTTTTGGGATACTTAATCTGTCTATATTTAAAACCTATGGGCCCGGCGCAGTGGTGCAGTGGTTAAGGTCCTCGCCTTGCATGCCCAAGATCCCATATGGGCGCCAGTTCTATCCCGGCGGCCCCGCTTCCCTTCCAGCTCCCTGCCTGTGGCCCAGGAAAGCAGTCGAGGACGGCCCAAAGCTTTGGGACCCTGCACCTGCGTGGGAGACCCGGAAGAGGCTCCTGGCTTCGGATTGGCATAGTATCGGCCCGTTGTGCTCACTTGGGGAGTGAATCATCGGACGGAAGATCTTCCTCTCTGTCTCTCCTCTCTGTATATCCACCTTTCCAATAAAAACAAAAACAAATCTTAAATAATAATAATAATAATAATAATTTTTAAAATAAATAAATAAATAAAACCTAAACCAATTTCTAATTTTTTGTTTGCTCCTTTGCTCAATATTCTTGTAATAGGTTTACTTCTCTTGCCTACATACAAGATCTAATCTATACCCAACCTACGTGAAACTTATTTTTGCCTTTTTCTCTGGAATTGCCAGTTGCTACCTGCCACTGGAGTATGCAACTGTAATCTTAGAGTTATTTGTAAATCTGACTTACAAACTTTTTCAAATGACTTCGCGCTACTCTCCTTTAATTAACAATAAAATAATTGGCATTATGTTGAACTCCTCAGGTCTTGCATGGCTGTGCTGCTTATCACGTCATTATTTGAACAGTTTATGCTTCCCCCTGGACAGTGTTCTCCCGTTCAGGTGAAGTGTCATGTATCTTTCCTAAAGCGCACTGTATCTTCTTAAATGTGTTTTGTGGCCCTGAGATAATAACCTAGCCTTGCATCCTTAAATGTTCTGACTGAAGTAAGTGCTGATGTGTTGCCAGGATCAGAAACGGTGCCTGGTATGTGTTGGTTGTTCACTAAATACTTGCTGAAACAATGGTTTTGATGAACAAGAAATAGACACCATCTACCTTTTTACTCTGTACCTTTTGTAATAACTCTTTTTTTAAAAAAAGATTTATTTATTTATTGGAAAGTCAGATATACAGAGAGGAGGAGAGACAGAGAGGAAGATCTTCCATCCGATGATTCACTCCCCAAGTGACCGCAACGGCCGATGCTATGCCAATCTGAAGCCAGGAGCCAGGAACTTCTTCCAGGTCTCCCACACAGGTGCAGGGTCCCAAAGCTTTGCTCCGTCCTCGACTGCTTTCCCGGGCCACAAGTAGGGAGCTGGAAGGGAAGTGGAGCTGCTGGGATTAGAACCAGCATCCATATAGGATCCCAGCGCGTTCAAGGCGAGGACTTTAGCTGCTAGGCCACACCGTCGGGCTCTGTAATAACTCTTGCAAGGGTTCCTCATCCTTGAGACCAAAGCATTAATTTTTATGCTGATAAGTTGTAAAATTGACATCTCCAATATTCCCATCCTTCTTATCTCTCACTTGAGTTCATACATTTCATATATCAATAAATCTGAAGATCAGTAAATATTCTAGAACAATGGTGACAATCTACTCCTTAAGGATCCTGGAATCAACTGGAAGCACTGATGTAGGAATCTAGTGTGTGAAAGGAAAACTGGAGGTGAGTGTGAAGGAATTGAAGATTTGCTAGTCAGGAGATGTTCAAGGGTGAAAACACCTGGTATTCGAGCTTGCCATCTGCTTTTAGAAAAATTCTTTCTTTCACACATATTCTGTGTCTTCCTGTACCATTGGAAGTAAGGTTAGGAAATGAGCCCAAGGTATGGAAGTGTTCTAAGCATGAGGAAACTGATGTTCTCAGAAAGTTACTTTAGTGTTTTAAATGTATAAAGAGGAAGTAAAATACAAGTTTGTAGTCTAATAGTGCTGTTCCCCTCTCCACAGTTTCACTCCGTGTAGCTGCAGTTACCTGCTACAACCGTGGTCAGAAAATTCCAGAAACATAATTTACAAGTTTTAAATAAGGCGCTGTTCTGGGTAGCAGGGTGAAATCTGGGACCTGAATTGCCTGCTGTGTCCATGATATGTATGCTACCCACCCGTTTGTCATTTGGCAGCTGTCTATTACCAGATCAACTGTCATGGAAGTGCAGCCCTTATTCCCCTTCATAATGATCCCAAAGCACTGGAGTGGTGATGCTGGCAATTCAGAAATATGCAAAGAAAAATTAGAGTCTTGCTTTTAAGTGAAGGTGAAAATTTATCGTAGATGTCTGTGTTGAGCAAAAAAATATAGTATGCATGGGATCTAGTATTATGTTCCATTCAGATATTCACTGGAGATCTTTAGACAGATCTCTTGCAAATGAAACAGGATGACTGTACCAGGAATCATAACACAGAAGTCTGAGTTTGAGAGAATGAAAACCTGTATTTTAGCTTACTCATCGGATTCAGTCTTTTCCCTGGTATCTCCTGACTTTTCTTATCCTACTTGCTCTTTGGTTAGGTCACAGGATTGTCTAGGATTCCTGCATTCCTCCTTAGGAAGCACTTTAAATATCTTTTGGGGTTTTTTTGCTCATAGTTCCTTGTTTTCTCTGTCTTTAACTTTCTCTTCTAATGTCTTGAATTTATAACCACCTTCATTTCCCTCTCTGCTATGACGATTTTTAATGTTCATTATATTTTTTTCCCCAAAACAGTGGGATAGAGGAAATTTGCATTTAACAGCCTTTTCATTTTGGGAGATTGGCCTAAAGTTTAAGAGCCAATCATATGACCTAACTGTTGTGTTAGATTTCTACAGAATTCAATTTCGATTCTTTTGTAGAAGACCTATGGGCTATTCATGAACCTGGAACAAGACACCGTAAAAGCCAAACGGGAACTTCAAGGCAAGTTCAAGAATTAATATTTAAGATACAAGTTTTGTAATACCTTGTATGGTTACTAGAAACGGGAGACAGTTATACCCCAAAGAATATAATCCAAATGAGTATGTCCTTTTCCGTAGTAGAGAACGTAGTCAGAATCCGAAGACCGAAACTTTGAAGTAGTCTTTTGACTCTTTGGAACTATACCACCAAAGAGGTGTTACTGCTCAAAAGTGGAGTCCAGGCAGTTGAGAGATCCTTTGAGTAAAATGCCAAGTGAAGGGTGGATTACAAACAGTAAGATTTTCTGTAAACTGGTTCATGCATATAGTCATGCAAGACATAGCATATGTCAGGGAACCCTCACAGTGGGGATAGCTTAACAGGTGTGAAGTACCCCCCAAGATACCTAGAAGCAAAACCTTAAAACTCAAATGCCTGAATGAACTTTTAACTTTCAATCCAGGACTGGAGAAGCCACCAAACGTCAGAAAACTCATGCCAAAGTGGAAGCCTTTGAATGTAAAGAGTGTGGAAAGTTCTTCGGTCAAAAGTCTTCCCTCACAGTGCATCAACAAACTCACTCCAAGGACAAATCCTACGACTGTGAAAAATGTGGGAAATCCTTCTCTAAGACTGAAGACCTTACCAAGCATCAGAAAAGTCACACCAGAGATAAGACCTATGAGTGCGAAGAGTGTAAGAAAATTTTCTACCATCTGTCTTCTCTCACTAGACATCAGAAAACCCATGCCGGGGAGAAACCCTATGAGTGTAACCGGTGTGAAAAATCCTTCTATCAGAAGCCACACCTCGCGGAACATCAGAAAACACACACAGGGGAGAAACCTTTTGAGTGTACGGAATGTGGAAAGTTCTTTTATATGAAAGCATACCTCATGGTTCATCAGAAAACACACACAGGGGAGAAGCCCTTTGAGTGTAAGGAATGTGGGAAAACCTATTCCCAGAAGTCTCACCTCACGGTACACCAGAGATCGCACACGGGGGAGAAGCCCTATAAGTGCAAGGAATGCGGGAAGGTCTTCTCTAGAAATTCACACCTCAAAATCCATCAGAGAATTCACACAGGAGAGAAACGGTTTCAGTGTAAGGAGTGTGGGAACTGCTTCTACCAGAAATCCGCCCTAACGGTACATCAGCGAACTCACACAGGCGAAAAACCCTTCGAATGTAATAAGTGTGGCAAAAACTTCTTTTATAAATCAGACCTCACCAAACATCAGAGAAAACACACAGGGGAGAAACCATATAAATGCACGGAATGTGGCAAATCTTTCGCTGTGAATTCAGTCCTCAGATTACACGAAAGGACGCACACGGGGGAGAAACCCTATGAATGCAAGGAGTGTGGGAAGGCCTTTTCTCAGAAGTCACACTTCGTCATCCATCAGAGATCGCACACAGGGGAGAAGCCCTATAAGTGTAAGGAGTGTGGGAAGGTTTTCTCTAGGAATTCACACCTCAAAGCACATCAGAGTGCTCACACAGGACAGAAATCCCCTAAGTGAATGTGGCAACTGCTTCTGCCAGAGTTCAGGCCTAAGGGTACATAGGCAAACTCACACCGGAGGGGAAAAACCCTATTCATGCAGAAAATGTAGGGGAGGCCTTTTCTCAGAAGTTACACCTCATCATGCATCAGGTAGCACACGCAGGGGAAAGCCCTGTGAGCAGAGGGAGTGTGGGAAACCTTTATCCAGACGTCACAGGTCCCCACCCATCAGAAGGCAAACAGAGCACAACAGGCGATTGTGTTGGGTGGAAAAAAACAAATCTCTGTAACTCCTCTTCACACGAGAGAAACTTGATGAATACCATCACTATGGAAACCATTTCAGCCACAATCTTTACTCATAGACTATCAATAATTAGAAAGGAAAGTTCTATGAATTCATTAGGGAGAAATCTTTACCCCTGTGCCACCACTTCACCACAGGGTCAGCATGAGATGGCAGAAACCAAAAAACTTACAGAACACGAGGGATGCTTCTCCTTCAGAAGTTTACAGCAATGAAAGCTACACAGGTGAGAAATTCCATCATTAGAATGATTGTCAAGGAACGTTCTGCTAGGGAAGCCAGTACTAAGCACCCAGAAGCTCACACAAGTTTGAAACACCTCTGGTTTCCTGAGTATTCAGCATCCTGCGGACACAGGTAGAACTCACAGGCTTTGAGAACTCAGACGGGGTAACTCATTCCATGCATTTATATGTGCAAAGATGGCAGCAGGAAGCTAAGCCTTTCTCAAGAACTCCTGTGTCAGCAAATGTCACATTACCGATATTGGTACAACCTTTGTAAGTATCCTAAACTGAGATTTGTAAGAAAAGTTTGAAGTTTGTACTGAAGGAACCAGTTATACTAAAAGTTATATAATGGAGTCTGAATTTTTTTTTAAGAAATCTAGAAAAATATCTACATTTATGAAGCTATAAAATAGTGCAGGTCAATTGAATAATTAAGCAAAACCATTAAACACACCTGAAGTGTCCTCTAGCACTTGTAGGGTGTGTGTGTGTGTGTGTGTGTGTGTGTGTGTGTGTGTGTGTGTGTGTGTGTGTGTGTGTTGTGTGTGTGTAATCACAATTTGCGCATCTTTGATCAGGTGTGTGGAGCCCATCCACAATCATGTAGAGAAAATTTGTAAACTTGGTTTGATGCTTGCTATGTGTGGAAACATGCCATTTGTTCTCAGTGACTCATGGTGTTATATATTTATTGTGGTGGAATTTTTAAAAATTAAATCCATTTTATCCTATTTCTTGGGATTTTTAAGTAGATATAAGCATTTCATTGAAATAACCACTCAAAAGTCAACTGAAATGTTTTTGCAAAATTAGCAATGATTTCAGCAACATTTCAGTGGGCAAGGAAATTTATTTGTAAGAAAAGTGTGAGCTGCTTTTGAAGCAGCTGAAAGCAGTGATATTTGTTACACTTTCCAAAAGAAAAGCAGTTAGGACCATGTGGAAATGTCATCTTGCTGTTGGTGTTTCAGCTGAACGTAGAGCTGTGTACATTCCTCTGTTGTAACGGGAGTCCTAAATGTTCTTCAGAGTTTTTGTTCCCTGGCCCAAGCAATGTGACATGTGACCAGGAGTGTGGACTCGAGACCTCTTGCTGTGGAGGCCCGGAAGGGGACCCGGGCATGCCACTCAAACTCTGTGTACCCTGCTCCTTTCCTATAAACAATAGCAACATCTTAAGATTTATTTGAAGTTTAAATATGTTAATATTTTAACACGCTTAGAAGATTGTCAGATATAAAAAGCTGTTACGTTTGGTCTTACCAACACTATTTATACATTTAATGATTTATGCTGTCAATATATTTAAAAGGGTCAGTTACACCAATCATCCCCAACCCTATTGCTTCTAGTGCCTTGATCTGCTTTGCTTTGATTGTGACTTTCCTCCAAGATGATTCAGAAGCAGATTGTGTTTATGCTAATCCAGGGGTTGGCTGGCAACTGCAGCCTGTCAATCAGATCTGCCCACTGCCCCTCTTGTGGCTTACAAGCTAGGAATGGTTTTACCTTTCTGAATGGTTGAAGACATTAAAGAAGTACTTTTGAAAACACTAATACAAATTTAAATAGTTTCTTTTCATTATGTTCATTTTGTTTGTGGCTGCCTTCCCTCTCTACCAGCAGAGTTGTAAATTTATGTAAGATTCCATATGGTCCACAAAACCTAAGATATTTTTATGTGGCAATGCAGAAAAAAAATTTCTGTGGCTTCTTGTGAAAACATTACAACCGATGTAAATGTATACTTTTATGAATGTTATATGTTTCAGGAATTGTGGATACAGCAATTTGTGGTACATGTTTTCATGCAGTGTTTATTTTGTATATTATATATGTCTCAAAGCCTAAGCTTAGAAGTATTTTTCCAAAGAAGTGTGTTTTTTACTTGCTGAATTGTCATCGTGCCCGAACAGGGAATTTCCTGAAGAAGTGTAGTAAATATAGGAAATAAATATTGTCTAAATTAAAGTGCCATTTAGTTATCTGTTTTGCTTCAATCTATGGCCAATTTTCTTTGTCTTGTGATTTTCTCATTTTCCCAGTATGAGGCGCCATCTTGGCATGTTTAACCTTACCCAGTAACAAGAAGTTTCCAACACTAGATCTTTTAGCTATAGACTAATGAATATTGCCTGTATTACATCTGCAGGTGGGCCTAGCTTACAATGATTTGATGTAATGATTTTTTCTGCTTAATGATGTGCAAAAGCAATATGTACTCACTAAAAGCCATTCTTTGGATTCTGATTTTTTTTTCTTGTTTTACCAATATTGGTACAGTTCTCCGGCAATGCTAGGCACTAGCGGACACAGTCAGCTTCCAGTCAGCCCTGTCACCATGAGGCCTGGTCTAGATCTAGCTATTGGAATAATCTGGGGAGTGAACCAGCAGATGAAAGATCTCTCTTCCTTTCTATGCTCCCTCTCTCTGTAACTATGTATTTGAAAAATAAATAAGTCTTTCCAAAAATAATTTAAAATGGCACACTTGCTAGAATTGATTTTAGGATCTTATTTTTATTTGAAAGGCAGATTAGTGGAGAAAAGGTGATATAGAGAGAAAAATCTTCCATCCACTGGTTCACTCTCCAAATGGTCTCAGTAGCCAGAGCTGAGCCAATCCCAAGCTAGGAGCCAAGAGCTTCTTCCAGGTCTCCCATGCATTGCTGTTTTTGCCCATCCTCTGCTGATTTTTCAGGCCATACTCAGGGAATTGTAGGAGGAATGGAGCAGCCAGGACACAAATCAATACCCATATGGGATGCCAGTGTTTGAAAGTTGAGGACTAGCCAATTGAGCCATACCCTGGCTCTACCAACTACAATTCTAAAATGATTTTAAACTTCCATAGCTGTTGTTAATGAGGATACAGAAGATCAAGATTCTTACTGATTGCTGATAAACTTAGAAGCAATGAATTCACCCAATTTTCACTAAACCTTGATTCTTCCCTCCCTAATCAACCATGTAATCATCATTTAGAAAAATAAAAAATTAAATGATTTTTTAAATGTAAAACTATACAAAACAACAAAAAAGAATATATATAGTAAGTTTTTCCAAATCACCAAAAACTAGAAGCAATCAAGATTTTTAAACAGGGAAATGAGCACAATTGTGGGTGTATGGTGGAGATACAAGGGTTTTGCCTCTGGTCCCTGGCAACAGAACCCCCTTAAACCCATAGTATCCTCTGGATGCCAGAGCGTCTTTGTTCTAGTGAAGTGACTGTTGGTGAACTCCCAATAGCTTCAGCCTATTCTCTGGTTCCCAGGAAAGATCAAGCCTTGGTGGCGGGGGGGTTCATGTCACAGCAGCTCCACTTCCAAACTATCTCTCTGCTTATGGCCTGGACAAGCAGCAGAGGATGGCCCAAATGTTTAGGACTCTGCATCTGTATAGGAGATCTGGAAGCAACTCCTGGCTCCTGGTTTTGGATTGGCTCAACTCCAGTCATTATGCCCATTGTAGGAGTGAATCAGCAAATGAAAGATCTCTTTCTGCCTCTCCTGCTCTCTGTAAATCCACATTTCCAAAAAGAATAAATATGTTGAAAGAATGGAAGGAAAGAAAAAGAAAGGAGAGGAAAGAAGAGGAGAGGAAAAAGGAAACGGAAAGGAAGGGAAGGGAAAGGGAGGGGAGGGGAGGGAAGTGAGAGGAGAGGAGAGGGGAGGGGAGGGGAGGAGAGGGGAGGGGAGGGGGAGGGGAGGGGAAGGGAAGGGAAGGGTCCACAGGAAGCAACGGGGTCGAACAGGAAATTGGAAAGGAAAAGGAAGGACAGGAAAGCTGAATTAGGATAAAGGATAAGGAAAGGAAAGGAAATAGGAAAGCTGAACAGGTAACAGTAAAAAAGTAGGATGTGGAGGGTATCGGGAAAGAAGGAAGGAAGGAAGGAAGGAAGGAAGGAAGGAAGGAAGGGAGGGAGGAAGGGAGGGAGGAAGGGAGGGAAGGAAAGAAGAAAATGATGGGGTCAGAGAGCTGCTGGCTTGGTGGGTCATGGAGGTGTTGGAAGAACAGAACCCCCCCGAGGGCCTGGGAGCTCTGAGCTACCAGTCCGCTTGCCTAGCCCAGTGGGTCTCTTCCATCTGGCTGCTCCAGAGTTTTATCGTTGATGATAAATCAGTAGCAACTAGGAAAGCACTTTCTTGAGTTCAATGAGTCATCCTAACTGATGCGAAACTCAGAAAAGGGGTCATGGGAATCATACTGGGTGTTTGGCTGGTGATTAGTGATATGGTGGGGTAGTCTTGTAGGGTTAGGTCCTTTCATTTCCAGGATACAATGCTAAATCTAGGCTGATAATATCAGAACTGAATTGTTCAATATGTGCTTCATGTTACAGAAGTTAGGAAAGAACCACGTACTTGGTGTCAGAGGGAGAGAATAAAAGTTCTCATTTGGTGTCCAAAATGCCTTGAGTACAATCGGGCACATAATCAATGATGAAAAAAATTAATATGAAGATGAAGACAAATTTTAATTACTAAGTGAAAGTACCCAGCATAAACAGGTTACGATTGAAGTTATCTGACATTCTGAAAAATCAAAACTAATGTAAATAGTATCTGAGTGATTGCTAATGTCCTGGGAGGAAGCAGTGTGCTCAGCACAGTGGAAGTTATTCTGGGGTACTGCGGTGGTGCGCATGGCACACTGTCCACTTGTCAAGTGCAGGTCTTTTTTTTTTAAGATTTATTTTTTATTGGAAAGGCAGATATACAGAGAGGAAGATCTTCCGTCCGATGATTCACTCCCCAAGTGAGCGCAACGGCCGATACTATGCCGATCCGAAGCCAGGAGCCTCTTCTGGGTCTCCCACGCGGGTGCAGGTTCCCAAACCTTTGGGCCGTCCTTGACTGCTTTCCCAGGCCACAGGCAGGGAGCTGGAAGGGAAGCGGGGCTGCCAGGATTAGAACTGGCGCCCATATGGGATCCCGGGTGTGCAAGGCGAGGACCTTTAACCACTTGCGCCACCGCGCCGGGCCCAAGTGCAGGTCTTTATAACGCCAGAAGTGGATCTTCAGATGGCCAGGGACCCAGCTTGGAATTCAGAATATACTAAACTGCTCTTAGGGCATAACAAATGTATGAATGTGCATCCATGCAAGAAAGAATAAAGTGCTGAGCTAAGCCAATATAGATTCAGTGATACATTTAGGACTAAGGACAAAGAATTGCACTTGGGATGGGCATTTGGCCTAGTTAAGGGTTAAGTTAAGCTATAATGCTTAAGTCCCACATCAAAATACCTGCATTTCACTTCCCAGCTTCTAATTGTAGAATTTTTCCCCTCTCCTCCCCTCCCCTCCCTTCCCCTCCCCTCCCCTCTCTTCCCCTCCCCTCCCCTCTCTTCCCCTCCCCTCTCCTCCCCTCCCCTCCCCTCTCCTCCCCTCCCCTCTCCTCCCCTCCCCTCCCTTCCCCTCCCCTCCCCTCCCCTCCCCTCCCTTCCCTGCCCTACCCTCTCCTCCCCTCCCCTCCTCTCCCCTCC